ACAAAATATAAACAATATTCAAATTCTTCATCTGAATATCAGGTCACTTCGGAAACATTTTAATGAATTACTAGTTTTATTGGAAGAACATAAATACAGGACAGATATATTAATATTAAGCGAAGTAAATATTAGAAAAGAAGAGCTATCGTTATATCAAATAACAGGATTTAACTCCTTTATAATCAAGAGTAACTACCAGAGGGGGAGGGATATTAATCTATGCCCGTGATAAACTTAGCTTCGATGCTCGGAGAGTTCCTACAGAGGCCTTAGAAATGCTACACGGACAGCTAAAAATAGGAAACAAGACAACTCATATTATCGCCATGTATAGACCACCACAAAAAAATAAATTATTCTTCATACATCAATTGGAGACCACGTTAAAATCTATTCCAACATCTGATAATGTAATATTGATTGGTGACACAAATATAGATATTCTAAACGATAAAATTAATCCAACAACAACGAAGTACAAAAACACCCTGTGTGCCTACGGCCTATTGTGTTCCATACCGAGTACAGAGATAAACGTGAGGCGGTTGTGGATGGACGGAACGAGACATCGTGCGTACATCACCTGTGGGTACGTGCGGGACGGAACGAGTGTGAGCCGTCATCGTTCGTGCTCGAGACGAAAATCTCCGATCACCATGCGATTGGAATAGTGGTAAATTTAAGTGATAACTGCAATATAATGACTCAAACTAGTAGGGACAATAGTGTGCGGAAATTACTTAACGAAAATTTTATAAAACAAAGGCTAGACTCGTATAACTGGGCGCAATTATCGGATATAACATGTCCACTTGTGTTATTTCAAACATTATGTACTGTGTTTGATAGGATATATAGGGAAAGTACAACTGTAGTAACAACTTGTAATAAAAGTATAATACGACAACCATGGATAGATAGATATTTATATAAAATGATATTGAGACTATTTGTTTAGAGTGTGGAAATGTGAACCAAAAAATATGAATAAGCGATTAGAATATACAAAATTTAGAAATAAAGTAATAAAACTATAATTAAGGCTAAAAATAAATATAGACAGATGGAAATAAAAAAATGTAATGGGGACTTTTAAGAAAATATGGGCAAAAATAAACCAGTGGCTGGGGCGAAATAAAGTAAGTCTAGATGATGTAATATTGCGACATTTAGGTAAGACAGAAAATATAATACAAATATGTACAAATTTTTCTAAAACATTTACTGAAGAAATTAAGGGAATAAAGCATAAATGTAAAATTAAATTTTTAAATAGAAGACAATATGTGAATCCGAGTGTGGTGGTGGTTTTAGATATATGATGGTGTGCTCTTTAGATGTAGAAAAGGTTATTAATAATTTATCATGTGAAAAAGCCCCCGGATTAGATGGAATTAGGATAAAAGACATCAAATATATACGCAAACAATTAAGTCCTGTTATAGTTGTGTATGTTGAAAAGTATTTATCCCGATCAGTTAAAACATGCTATTATACGCCCTATATATAAGTCAGGACACCACTTAGAATATGTTAATTATAGACCTATAGCCATATTATCTATTATTGATAAAATTTTTGAAAAAATTGTTGTAAGCCAAATTTCTAAATTCTTGGAATGTCATATTTTGTCAGACGCTCAGCACGGTTTCCGCCCGGGGCGCAGTACAGTTTCAGCACTAACGGAATTTGCCGATTACATAAACGAGTTTTTGGACGCTGGTAAACAAATTATAACACTTTTTATAGATTACAAAAAGGCGTTTGACACCCTGGATCATGACATTCTGCTATAGGGGATGGATGAATGTGGAATACGAGGCCCTACGAATAAATGGTTTCGGAACTACCTGAGTAATAGGAAAATGCGTACGATGATATCTGGTGTGACTGGTGAGGATATGCATGTGGATCTGGGGGTGCCGACTGGATCAGTATTTGGTCCATTAGGATATGTGATGCATGTGAATAGTGTGTCAAATGTCGTAAACAAGTGCCGCGTTTTTATGTAAGCCGATGATATGTGTATTGTTTATGCTTCCAAGGATATATCTGAGATACAAATCTATGTACAAGAAGATTTTGAAAGTATAACTAAATGGGCACACGATAATGGAATTATATTGAATATGTCGAAAACCAAGTGCACGCATATACACTCACCATACAATCGACAAGTTAAAATTATTAATAAAGAACAGATACATATAATTGGCCACTCATATGAATGCCTACATGCTAATAAAATCTACTGCAGGTGTGATAAATTAGATTATGTCAATACATTTAAATATTTAGGCTTAACTATTGATCAAAAATTTTGCTGGAAAACGCATGTTAATGACATATGTAATAAATTAAGATCCATGGTATGTAAGTTTTATCAATTAAATGCAGTTGTAGACAAGCACACGTTACGCATTGTGTATTATGCGCTTGCTGACTCACTGATTAGCTATGGACTCATTGTATATGGGCGGACGTTTTGCACCTATTTAAAAAATATTAAAAATTTACAAATAAGGCTGATTAAGTACCTAGTGACCAAAAAAGTTAAAGATAATTGTGGACAGGACTATAATAACTTATTTCCAATTTGTAAAATACTGCCTGTAGACAAAAAAATCGAATACTTAATAGGCATACGTCACTACTATAGTAACGATTATAAAAGATATGTTAATAATAAATATGATACAAGAAGTGTAAAATGTAAATACTTGTTAAACCGAGAATGAATAATTATTATGAGGAAAGATTATCAAAATTTCTAATACCTAAGATATAACATAAACACTTACGCCTGTCACCCAGAGGGGTAGGCAGAGATTACGGACTTCCATTTGGCACGATCCTGACATACCTCTTTCGCCTCCTTTACATCCATATATCTACGCATACATGCTCGTCGGTTAAGGGTACTTCTAACGTGGCCCATTTTCAAAATATCGCCAATTTGGTCGACAAACTTTTTTCTAGGGCGTCCCTTCCCGACTCGGCCGTTCACATCTGCCATATAAATTTGCTTTGTCACTCTTTCATCATTCATTCTTTCTACGTGACCAAACCACCGAAGCATTGCTTTCTTAATCCTGGTCACAACATCATCTTGCATACCACATTTATCTCTTATCACGCAATTTCTCACCCTGTCATTCAGATTAAACCCTAGCATATTTCTTAAAGAACGCATTTCTACAGCATTTATTCTACTTTCGTGCTTCTTCTGCCATACCCAGCTTTCACTACCATACATTAACGTAGGGACTAACACAGCATTATGAATTACCATACGTGCCTGTTTTGACACATTCTGGTTCTTCATAATAGAGTGTAGTGCCCCATTCACTCTATTCCCTGCATTTACTCGTCGTTCTATATCCCTATCATATCTACCATCCCTGCTAAATACACATCCCAAATACACAAACTCATCCACTTGCTCAATTAACTCTCCTTCTATTCTTATTTCACATACCGTTTTGCTTTCTTCTCTTTCAAAAACCATCACTTTCGTCTTACTTGCGTTCACTTTCATTCCCCTTTCTTTTAATTCCCAGTTCATTAATGTAACCATCATTTGCAACTCAGCCGCTGATGACGCAAATATGACTTGATCATCGGCATACAAAAGGCATTTGACGGTTAACTCGCCCATTCTTAAACCACATTCTTCATCTTTCAAAGTTTGCAAACACCGGTCCATAAATAGGTTGAACAGCCAAGGGGAAGCTACACAGCCCTGTCTGACACCTTTTTGGATGCCAAACCAGTCCGAGTAGACCCCATTGATCCTGACACAAGCACTAGAGTCCCTATAAAGAGACCCTAATGCCTGTATCAAACCAGCGCTCAACCCATATGAGTTCAGTGTTTGCCATAACACATTCCTGTCCACTCTGTCATAAGCCTTTTCCAAGTCCATGAACGCACAAAAAACTTTCTGGTTTTTGGCCAAAAACTTCTCCGCAATCATGCGCATGGAAAAGACTTGATCTGTGCACCCCATTCCCTTTCTAAAACCCGTTCAAATTTATTAAATACCTAAGATATTTAATAAATTTGAACTTCTGAGAGGGAGTCCGCTCAGAAGTTCAAATTTATTAAATCACTCCGTAAAAATGTGTTGAATTCAAAACTTAAACAGTTGTTTCTTGATGAATTATCGTTGGAATAATTATGTTTTTTGCAAATTGCTGTTGTTTTTAGGATATATTTTGATAAAAATAGAAAAAAATATTAGAGTATATAAATTATAATATTTTGTTAATCGGGGCCTACGTCGGATTAAGGCGTGATTTAGACGATACAATTTTCTTGTACATTCAAGTGCAATTATTGAATGCAATAAATTAAGTGCGTTAATTGCCCTTCAAGAATTGTACGCAACTGTTTACACGTGGATACAAGTAAAAAAAATTAAATGCAATTATTGAATGCAAGTCTTGACAAAAAATAGTCTTCTGTTTAGACCAATACAATAATGTTTAGGAGATTATTGCTTTCAAGTTTTTACTTGTCTAAATAGAGAGTTGTATGTGCGTGTACCATTTATTGGCGGGTTGCTTCAAGTATTTGCGTTGTCAAATTTTTCATTCAAGTGTTTGAAGGTTTTGTAAAGAGTCTGTTTATTAAAAAATATGAGTCAAAAAGTGTTAAAATTTGATTCTGTTGACTTAATAAAGTTTATTGAGATTTATCGCAGTCATGAGTGTTTGTGGGACACCGAAAATGCGAATTACAAGAATCGTGATGCACGTAGTGCTGCGCTTGTAGCATTTTCACAAGAATTTGGAGTTGATGGTTTGAGACCTAAAGAAATTACAAACAAAATAAAAAACTTAAGAACGCAGTATCATGCGGAAAGGAAAAAGATAAAAGATTCAATGAGCACTGGTTCCGGTACTGCTGATATTTACAAGTCCAAACTCTCTTGGTATAATTTAATGGATTCTTTTTTAAGGAAAACTTATTAACACAGAGAAACAACATCAAATATGGTAAGTATGTATTTATGTAAATTTTCTAAAGTACAGTCAAGTGCATAGTATTATAAATGTGAAACTTTTTTTTCATTAAAAAACGGCACTGTCTTGCCAAGGTACAGCACCATCATTGTTAAAGTAATGACAATAATTATCACGGATTCTTATAGCTTCCCTTGTACTATTCCTGTTGTTCTGTGATGTTATATTTTCAAAAGCTCCGCCTGAAGCATTTTGTCTCCAAGTACCAAGACGAAGACCACTTCTTTGACATTCTTCGTCTATAAAACCTGGTGGGGTGTAAGACGCAGGTGAAGTTTTCCTAAGCCAGTTGTGTAAAGCACATGATGTTTTCACTATGACATCTACCTTGTCTATACTTGTAGTGATTGGCTTTTCGAAAATTCGAAATCGGGATGTTAAAACTCCGAAACCATTTTTTGTTCTCTACTTAAATCGTTACGGCGAGGATATGGTTTCATCAAATAAGGTTTTAAAGGAAACGCTTCATCTCCGACAAGTACTGCATTACTTGACAAATTTATGGTATTCTCTTCAATAGTCTTCTTTAAAGTACAATTATTAAATATTCCACCATCAGAGTTTCTACCTTTTGCTCCCACGTCAATGTATGTGAAACAATAGTCGTGATCAACACAAGCCAGTAACACAATACTAAATGTACTTTTATAATTAAAAAAAGTCTGATTCTGTGCCAGGGGGACATTTTACGTTTATATGCTTTCCATCAATGGCGCCAAAGCAGTTGGGAAAATTCCATCTTATAAAAAAGCCCCTTATTATTTGATTCCATTCCTCTTCAGATCTTGGCACCTGTAAAATAATGAAATAAATGTATGTTTTTAGAATGATACGTCCCTGGCATCACAAGAAATAGTTTTTGAATATTTTGAAAATGAAAATACGGAAAATATTGAAAATGTTATAAATTCAAATATACAAGTCGTCGATGATGTGCTTCCGTTTCCAATGCCTAAAAAAACAACTAAAAAAGCAGGTTACATAGAATCGGCCTTAGATAAACTGGACAATATTGAAAAAAGAGCAAGACTTGAAAAAAAAGACGATGATTTGGACAATTTCGGAAAATATGTTGCGTCTTCATTGCGAATTTTGAATACCGAAAATAGCATACATGCTCAGGACGAAATACAAGCAATATTATCAAAATATAAACTGCAAGATCTTCGAGAAAAAGAACGACAAAACTCTACTCCAATGCCAGAATCCCCGTATTCGAAATAAGGCAGCGAAGACACATGGTTGAACATGTAATTTTTTATCTATTTTAATTAAATATCTGATTCCGTAGTTTATATTTTGATAATAAATAAATATTGTTTATTTTTCGTTCTGAGCATAAATAGTAATTAACAATTTCTAATTATTTTGCTGAAAATATATGATTCTATTATAAAAACTGTTTTATTTCGAACTCACCTTTATAAAATCTTCTAATACAGAGTAAATAGCTTCAAGAACTTCGACCAAGAATGTACTTATAGTACACAAAGGTACTCTAAATAATTGTGACAGTGTACCAAACGAATCTCCAGTTGCCAAATATTTTAATGCTATTTCTAGTTTTGTTCGAGCAGGAATAGCATTACGCATTGTTGTATTTTGCCTTTGTATAGAAGAACCAATTTTATCTAATAAATAATAAAACTGGGTTCTGTTAACACGAAACATGTTCTTAAAGTCATCTTCATTTTCTATTTGTAATTCTACACAAAGATTGTTAGACGCTCCAAGAACTCCTCTTCTTGCTATCCATTTTTTGATCCAATACCTCTTTTTACGACGATTTCTCAATATTTCTTGTCTCTCAGAAGAGCAGCAACGATTAACACACCTTCACTTACTGCACTCATGTTGGCAAATGAAGAGAAAACTAATTGAATGCAAGAATCGCCTAAGAAATTTTTGTATGTGCTGTTTACACCAAGAAAATTTTGGCAAGCAAAACTTGCGCAAAAGATCAAAATGTTACGTACTGTTTAGACCATGCAGGTAATTTATTGCTTCAATTTTATTGTATGCAACAGGCAAGAAACATGCATCATGTAAATGGCGCTTAAGGCCCGCGCAAACAGTCGCGACAGAACAGTTTCATTCAAATTTTGATCGAAACATGAATGAAAATGTTTTGTTGCGATACTATATTGTGTAAGTTTACACAGAATTTATACTTATTGGCGCAGAGTCGAAGCTTTTCGAGTCTAGTTTTTCGCCTACAGCATATTCATATCTATTTTCCCATTATTAAGAAAAAAATTTGTGTTATGAAAATATGGATTCACACGTAGACGCGCTCTTGCGCGTCTTGGTTAACGTTGAGCGGTTGCGACGAGATGCTTCAACTCTGCACCAATGTGAGGAGAGGTCTATAATAATAATTATCTAGAGTTGATAAAAGAACGAGTTTTATGTTATGTTAAATTGTCAGTTATAAAATAAAAGATTTTTTTAATATATCATAATATTTTTATTTTTTAAGAAAATATAGAAACATACTAATGTAACTAACTATTTAATAATCACACTTGAAATTACTTTTCGTTCGTTATTTTAAAAAGAAAACACCCTCACTTTTTGTGATTATTTAGATATGACTTCTCTAAGGCCCGTATTAATAAACGTTACTCAACGACGAGCTCAAGTGCGTAATCATTTGATACGCTCTCATCATATCAGCATCTCAAGATCGTTGCTAATTAATAAACAGATAAAAACAGTATCTCAGTTACCAAGATCAGTTCCTTAAGACATTGTACTTAGAGTTACTGTCAGATACTGTTCTGTGACTTGAGCGCTTGATCTCAGGAACGATTACGTCACATAGATTGAAGTTTAGAATATCATTCATCACGTTTCGTTTTTGCTATATATCATGAGGTTTATTGAATACCTTTATTTTGATAAAACTTAAATAAATAGAGCTGTATCACTTTATATGGTTGCTTTCTACTAACTAAAAGCTTAAATTTTTATAACTATTGTGTATATCTCTCTAAATACGAATTAAATATTCACTACTTAATTCAATATTGTACATATTACAACAATAACCTAACGCAAATCGACGACAGCGTCAGTCTCAAATATAAAACCGACGTATCATTTATGACACTTGAAAATAGAATCTTGTACGTGACTTTGATCTCGCGAGAAAATTAAATACAAAAATGGAAAGCAAGAAGCATGTTTTTACTCCAATGGAGAAAAAAGGCTTTCTCGAAATTATTAAAAAATATAAGGCTATAATTGAAAATAAAGAAACCGATGGCATGTCTCTACGCATTAAAAATGAGGCCTGGAGCAAAATAACCCTCGAATATAATGCTAGTCCATATGCATCTAGCCAGGTAGGTAATTAATTATAGTACTACAAATATCACTTTTTAAACAATATAACATCAGTAATCTGAAATTTTCAACATAATTTCCGCATGTACCTAATCGTGACAGGTTTATTTTATCTTACATTCTACATTAATATTTCAGGCAACAACTAAACAATTACGTCGGCTATGGATGAATTTAAAACAAAGGCAGAGAGAGGCACTAACAAAAGAACGCCAACACCGCTTGTCCACTGGAGGAGGGCCTTCAATAAGTGATGCCACCATCGACCCTGATGTTGCCGAAGTAGCCCCAGCACTTATTGTTGGTATAGATAGTACTATTGATTCAGATGCAGTCCTAGGTAAATATATATATTATATATAATAGTATATAAATAAATTCATATACAGCTCTAACCAATATGTCTGAGGTTAATTTTACAACTGTGTTTTTCAGAAATTAAGGAGAATGACATGATGCAACCGATATATATAGAGGAAGTGGATGACACGTTGCCTATTAAACCTATAGGGATAGCAACAGAAAATATACCATCCACTCATGAAGCATCTACACCCACCTCTGTTACTCAAATAGTCCCTAATATACGAAAAAGAAAACCAACAGCCCTGACAGGTCAGCGTCAGAAGGACTCAATTTTGGAGAGGGAATACAAAGATCGGCAAATGAGGGCTAATGAAAAACATGAAATGGAAATGAAGATTCTTAATTACCAGCTCCGAGAAGCCAAGGCAAAAGCTGAGCTAGCTGAGCTGATCCTTAGTCAAAAAAACAATGTTGCTCAGGTAGTGTTATTACGAGTATAATGATTACTTTGTTTATTAAAGTGCTACATATCTACAAAATAATGTTAAATAGTCCAGTGAATCCGCTCGCTATATTACAAAAATCACATTTTGAGACATATACTGTAATACAGAGCACTTGAAAGTACAGTTTATTAGACTATTTCTTATAGTTAACATTCAAATACAAGCCTTTGTTTTTTGTTACAGATGTGACGTAGATTGCAGCACAACATGTAATGCATAAATAATTTCTTAAGTGATATTATTATATAAAATAAACAGACATTTAATTTCTATTATAGTTGTTTAATTTCAGTATTTTAATATGATATGATATTTCAGTATGTCTTTAACTATTTTAAAAACTTTTAATTAAACAGAATCAGAAAGAAAAATGTTTTTATTCAATATAGATTATAAATAATACTTATTGAAAGTCTCTCTTTTGTTTAATTTACCACTGGTTCAGAAAAAACCTCTGTCCTGGAAAGAACCAGCTATATATATATATATATATATATATATATATATATATATATATATATATATATATATATATATATATATATATAAAGCTTACAATCATTTATGTTACATAATTAACAATACAAAACAAATTAGAAACACCTCATTCCCAAGGGTTATCATCCATAAATTCCTTAATATGTAGAATAATCCTTTTTATATTAACAAACTTAGTTTAATAAAGAATTTGATTTACTTACTTAATAAACTACATTTAGATATGTAAAAATATCTTAAATTTAGGTAATACCTGAAATATAATCTGTTTTTACAGAAATATAAATCAATTACTAAAAAATGAAACCATCTTCATCTAAATATCTAGATTATAATTTATTGATAGAAATTTTCAATAATTGTATTTCTTAGTAGAAACCCAGAGCTAGTACCAGGTATCAGAGTATTTGGTTCATCTTCCTCTACATTTTGGTCTACTCCACCAGAAATATCAATATTATCATTTAAAATCAATGATAAATTGTGCAACACTGCACATGCGACTATTATATTAGACACTGTTGAAAGTTTGTTACCTAACCCCCTTGACAGACAAGGGAACCTACGTTTCCAAATTCCAAAAGTTCTCTCAACAATATTTCTTGTTTTTATTTGTGCTCTGTTATAACGAATCGAAGGAGGATCTTCAGGAGATGGTTTAATAGGCGTAAGTAAAAATGGTAATGCAGGATATCCACTATCACCTACAAGTCTTCCATCCAGGACAGCCTGGGAATATTTCATGTACACTGAAGACATTTGAAATATTCTAGAGTCATGCATGCTACCAGCCCATCTAGCAACTATATCTAAAATTTCCGTTTGTGGACCAACAACAACCTGCAAAAATATAGAACATTTACATTTTATTTTTCAATTTATAAGGGATTTTGTTGACTATAATGTTCTGATATTATGTGACTGTAAACAAACAATATTTTGCAGCAAAAATAGATAATACATGCATACCTGCACATTAATTGAAAAATATGACTTCCTGTTCCTATATACTTCATGATGTCTGCATCCTGGAGTATTTACAATTTTTATATGAGTGCAGTCAATGGCACCATCTACCCCTGGAAGTCCAGGCCAACGTCCATGACTTCCCAAGTTTTTGAAAAGTTCTCTGTTTTTACTAGCCTGCTCTCCTTGAGGTATTTTTATGTACTTTGTGTGAAGAAGGGCCAATAGTTTTGAGACTTTAGTTATAATATTTGATGCTGTAGGTTGTGATAAATGTATTAGATCGCCACAAACAAGCTGAAATATAAATTGATTGAAGATTACATTTTCATAGGAATATATTTTTGATGTTAATAATTTTCGGCTCATCAGATGTTGCTAGTTGACACTGAGGTGTAGTTATTTTTTTGTTATACAATTTCATTTAAATGAGAAGTTAGTTTAAACTATCATATTAATACACAAAACAATGCTTAAGTGGTTTGCTGTTTAATTGTTTCCACATTTTTAACTCTTTTTGAATTATTCTACTTTTATGAATATCTGTGGTTCAGTTTAATTATTTTTAATCTAATTAATATACAGTATAACTAAAGTACA